TAGATTTCTTCATGTAATACAGGTCAGCTTGTGAAGCCAAAATCCAGCTTTTATCAGGGTAGTAACAAGCAAATTCCATCAAGTTAGTGAAGCAAAAAATATCCTTGTATGCAATGAGATATACAATAAATAATTTTCAAGGTCCAGCAGATACAGCAAATTAAATGACATGGAAAAACAGATCACGTGATAGTAAACAGGAAAGATAAATAGTTTACTATATACCCCCTTCGGCTTATCAAAACCACATAGTTTTCAAGTTGTACCTTTTCAGAGACTTAATTCCAGATATACATAAAGCAACTCTCACCAAATGAGATATTTACAAAATTATATTCATTTCCACCAAACCGAACAATCCTCCACAGCAGCAGCGTGATCTGAACGCAGGTAGCATATACTAACCCGATGACTTATCTCAGACCAGTTAGGTTAAACTAACGTTGCATAGAAAAGCAGACCCCAGTTTCCATTTTAATCATATCTTCCATTTCTATTAGGATAAACCTAAAATATAAGATGATACTTGACTTCTACTATAGGGTATCAACAGAGAGAACTTTCTGAAATTTTGATCTATGGTTGCTATTTAGGGTAATGTCTGAAATTTTCAAATACCAAGAGTTATGTATAAAATCTACAAAATGATCCTTCAATAAAATCATATTATTTTTATCTTTGACTGTCCTAGATTTTCACACGATTCTAACTACATTAGTCTCTCTGTCTGGACGAAATGCATTACTATTAGACAACAATTAGTAAGATGTTTCCAAGCAACACAGTCCAAGTTTGATTATGAAATCACACCCCAGGGCCATGAGACCAGAACCCATTAGGCCATTACAACAGCATCAATACAAAAAAGAAGACACTCACCAACATATAAGTGCACCTATTTGATCATATATATTATGCATACACTTGAATCTGGACAGTTTTGATCAATCAACCATATTGTTACTCTGATTAACTTGTAAATTTATGGATTGAGTACTCAAAAACTCAATTAAGACAACAAAAAAGTCCACATGAAGCCCAACTTTGTCCCGTCGGGGAAAAAAAAATTTGGTACACATCTAGTTACAAGTAATTTACTCAAAATGTTTAAATGAATATAATGTTTTGCAATTGCATCTCAGATGGAGTTGTAAGCTAATGCAAGGAAAAGATCAAAATAATGAAAACTGACTCACAGTCTTTCCTCAAGCTACAAGAGAATGGGAACAGAAGCTAATTAGTCATTTAGAAATACAGAGAAGGAACTCTATGAATCAAACTACAAAAATCCATAACGAGGACTGCGTGGACTTCAAATATCACAACTGCCATTATAAAGAAAAAATGAAGAGCCAATCAAATGAATTAATAATGACGCACCATAACAGATCAAATTACCGAACTGAACATTGTAACCTTATACAAGAATCAGTATAACAGCTATGATTACAATGTCACAATGATACGTATGCATTACACAAATGTAAAATGAAAACATTACATACCAATAGATATTAATGGGTGATTATGCGTAATTTTTCATGCCTATGTGTGCGCCCATATGTATTCTCGCAAATCAAAAAACAAATCCAACGCAAATATATAAAAAAAGGCCTCCAAATAGCAAAATAGTTATAAATAAAAAACAATCCCCAAATCTAAATAACCAATACACACACAGTATCATTACACTAACCGCAACGAAACCCTATGAAACTCAGAAATTCAACAGTGTAAAACAAACACATCGATACAACCACACAAAAGAAAAATAAATAACAAAATTAATTTAAAAAATGGTACCTGCAGAAGTGTGGTGGCATAGCTGATGTAGTTACGAACCAGACCTTGAGAGGTGATACGGATCTCATTTTCGTTTATCGGAGATTCAGGCTTGGGCTTCTCCACCTTCTGGTATCTATCCATTGGTAGTTTAGCCTTTCTTTGGTGGGAAAAGGAAAACCCTAAAACCCTAGATGGAGAAAGTAATGTATATGAACAGCAACAAACCGTATACTGAGAAATGGAGAGGGAACCTAAACCCTGATATTGGAGCCGCCAACAAGGAGTTGTGACGTCATCCTCTTAAATTTGGATCTTCATGGGCTTCACAAGCCCAGATTTTTAGGGCCCATAGACCTGGTGCATATGCACGTGTGCAACTGTAGCGTAGAAATTACGAACTTTGTTTTGGGCTTCACGAGATGGGCCTTTTATTCAATTGGGCTAACTAAAATATAGAATTGAATTTTTGAAATGCAAAATTAATACACGTCAAGTTTAAGGAAGTGATACCGTGTGACGATATTTTTGAGTTTTCATGCTTGCTCTCTTTCTAGTCGAGCATATCAAACATCCATTATACAAGTAATTTGAGGTTTTCTTGACATTTTTGAAATTTTAGTGTGGAGATGATTTGTGTCATCGACTCGTTTATCTAATTTGATTGATAGAATCATATGACATTGGATTATTAATTAAGAGTATCACATGTTATCAACTAGTGTTCGAAATGTGTAGTATTATATTTTATTGAAATTATATATACATTATTTTTAACTTATATTTCTTATTTAAATTTTTTTAGTACCATCTCATTCACCTTATAAGAAAATTCCATCACAAGCATTCGTAAAATCTACAATGTCACAAATTCCTTCGATTTTCCATCAATAAAATCATAAGCACAAGAATGGATGTATAATCTTTGAATTTACATCAAATTCTCTGTTTTTGATAAAGTCAAAATTTCATTCGGCCATAACTCAGATACATTTCGAACATCCTTGTTGACCAATCTCGAGGAACAATCTACAATTAGCGACTTCATCTGAATCCAATCTTCATAGTTCTAGCACGACGACTGTCCAACACGAAAACATATTCACGATGTAAATCATCTATTAGAGCTGTATATCTAAGCATAAATAAAGATGATGAAAAGGACTGGATCTTACATTCAGAATCCGTCGTGATCCAGTTTCCAGTTGTACCAACACACTCATCTCTAACATGTAGAGGAGTAGAGTTCACTGAAGGTGCATTCTTGATTTGTTCATGATTTAAAGATGAAGCCAGTGAAATGGTAGAAATGGTAGAACAACTCTCTACATCCCATCTAAAACTGATCTTTGGAGTGTCATTGCTACATTGACTGTCATCCGGCACTGCCTTTAAAGTGGATCTATTTCGAAACTGCAAGACCTGAAATCACAACATTTTGATGTAGAAATTTTAACATCGTTAATTGCGGTTAATATACACTAGAGACGAGGTGGGGTCTGTAGCTCAGAGAATTAGAGTACGTGGATCTCACCTTTCTACCAATGTACTTTCCTCCCTTCTCAGATTTGGTAGCAGCAGCAGCAGCAGCCCATCTCATTAGCTCTTTCATCCGGGATACGGCTCTGCTTTTATCGCCCATGGCTCTATCTTTCTTCTCTACATTAGAGCATTGATCATTGTTGTTTATGGATAACGATTGCGCCGATTCAGTGATTGGCAAAACCTTATTTCCTGCAAGAGCAGTTGGATCTTGCTTGTGAGTAATGCTTAATTCATGAACAATATCTTCACTTTTCATCTTCATTGAATAAATCCAATGTTTGTATCCTTAATGTGAAAGCAAGAAACTAATATAGTACATGAAAAACAAATGAATTCAACAATGTATGACAAATACAAACTATTTTGAAGAGCTATTGGAGGAACTTATATGCAAATGAGTTAGGAGATTTGTCATCTTTGAATTATTTGATAGAAAAATAAATAAATAAATAAAATTGAAAGATAGGTCACTTGCATGTTAGTGTTGATATTTTTATTGGTTAAGAATATAAACAGTGAAGAGAAAATGTGTGAAAATATTAGTCAAATTGGACTGCACACAAGAAATCTATCTGTGCTGTCTGTATTTCCCAAATATTCTTTCTGTTTGGGTTCAATTTGGGGCTTTGTGCAGATGTAGACAAGGATAAGTGAATTTAAGCATATGGGAAGACAACTGGGCAGTTAGTGGGGGCTGGTTGGCTTGTGATTCTGAGGACAGATGGATTTATTAATGTAAGTGGATCATGTGGTCTACATCAAACCTATGTTTGAGACCCATTTTTAGAATAAATTTTGTAAAAAGATTTTTCGAAAAAATATATGATTGAAAAAAAGAAAAAAATTTGAATTTACATGTAAAATTATTTTATTGAAAAAATATGTGTGACTGAAAATATATTTAAAAAATAATAAATTTTAAATAATGAGACTCAAACATGAGTTTAATTATTATAAATGGTTTTTGATTGAGTGTTTGATCGAATAGTATTTTAGCAAAATGTTGAACAAGTTGATTAATCACGTATTTAAATACTTCGTTCAACAAGTTTGTCCTCCAAAAATATAGAAGTGATAATTTGGTCCTCCAACTATTCAATAGGAGCAAGTTGCTCCTCCGACTATTTTTGTCCTCCAAGTACATTGAAGTGATATTTGGTCCTCCAACTATTAACTACGAGCTTGTTGGTCCTCCAGTTATGATGAAAGAGCAAGTTCATCCTCCACAAGCGGTAATTGTTAGTAAAATCGTCATAATATACTATTATTAAACTAAATGTGATGATAGAATAGCAAATCGAAATCTATGTGAAAATAGTGTCATTAAAATAGATTCTCACTTATCATAAGTATTTAGGTTTCTTTGAGTGTATGTCTATCAAGATACAACGGAAAAATCAATAGAAATTGAGCATATTTCTAAACTGACAAACTAGATCACCATGACTTGGATTTGGAAATTGGAAATTTCATATAGATGGAGAAGATAATATTTTTACCAAAAAATGAGAGTTAATTTTGTGTTGGGAAAATAGATCGTCCTTTATTATAAGCTCGACTCCATGGGTGGTGCATTCAATTCATTTCTACCATTAAAATGGGTATAAGCACTGGAGTTCACTTTACCATGGGATCAATTTATGTTTGGCATTCGTGTCCACAAGTCGCGGTCATACAAGTGTTAATCTGATCTGTGATTTGAACCTAGGTGCATTGCGTTTTCATTTTTCCTGGGTGGGATAAAATACAATTATTTTTCTTCGAACACAAGCCTATTCCATTGAGTATATTTTAAATTCCAATTTCTCATTCGCCCTAGTATCATTTTTGACAAATAAATATATAATTTTGATGTTCTCAAGATGAGAACACGAATGCACTTAAACCTTTCAAAACAAAAGAATGGATCCCACTCAAAAACATGCCAAAACAGTCCCATATTCAACACCATTTTCCAACAGTTATTTAGTCTGCTAACTTATCTGTAAGAGCACGTTAATTCACAAATGGGCTGAAAGAGCAAGTTTGTCCTCCGACTATCTACCTGCTGAAGTTGACCCATTGAGGGATCAATGCTAGCAGTACAGTATCTTGAAGACCAAAGCGAGTATAGTGATATTGGCAGTGCCGTCCGCTCAGCCGTGCCACATTCTATTGTGCTAGGCGATTATATAATTGAAAAGAATAATGCTATCAACACTAGTGATATTAGAACACCAGTCCATGTAACATTATGTGATAGATTCAATTAAATAACACTGATAGGGTATCAGGTGCAAGGCACAGGTGGAAATGAAGGTACCAATGGTTAAGCACCTTTGTGTTTCAGATGATTGGCTCAATGGAGTCAAGAGCTGAGCTAAGAGCTGGAAGGTCAAGAGTCCTGGCAAGGCATTGGCACCCGACCGGGTCCTGACTACCCCTTTGTCATCTTGGGGTGAAAATTTGTTGGGCTCACAAGATGATGAATACAGCTATGATGTGGATGACAACAATGAAACGGACATGAATATATTAAGCAATGCTGGGGACCAAGACCTTTGGAACAAACACACAATTGATCAATAGTGAAGATTTTTTAAGTTCTGTCATCTTGGTCTTTACCGTCCAGTTCTATTTATCAAACATGTTCTACGGCAACATCCGGCGACATATTATCCTATCCAAAGAGTCAAGAGAAACCCAATATATGTATTGCTTTTGCTGTTAAAGAAAAATCCCATTTGACAGGAAAATGATGGACCGTAATGATCTGGAATCAGTTTAGCACTATAAATTACACCTTATTTTGTTTGCCCCAAATTATCTCCAATAATGATTCACCCATTGATTATCATTTGATAAATAAACGTGCCGACATAGCATCCTTCGACAACTAATTGTTTGTAGTAACCATGCTCACATTGCACAGATCATCCACACAATCCCCTCTTTCCAAAACCGCGGCTGCACCCATACCCGATCCTGCAATCCAACATACATGAAAATGTCAATATACTGGACTGGACGGCATTGGATAGGATTAAAGAAGGAAAAGAAGTTCAAATTTTTCTGTTGTACTGCATACTACCGTCCAACAATATGTACCAAAAAGAACAGATACCAGAGTCAACGGTACCTGTATTTGGATCCACCCTCTTTTATTTCTATTGATTTTGCATCTTTTTTATTTATTTTATTTTCGTTATAGCAAAATAAGCCCCCTTGTTTTGGAAATTTAATTCAGCCCATTGAAAAGGAGATACCTATGCACATGGATATCACGCCAAATCGACAATCCTTGCCACGGCGCTTCATCTCATTCAGTAAAGTTGCCACACAACGGGCTCCTGAAATAGAAGAAAGGCTCTGATTCAATAAGACGACTCAGTTCAATGCGATCTCAGAACAATTGGAATGTAGGGACTAACTGCTGGTTACCTGTAGCCCCTAAGGGGTGGCCAAGGGCAATTGCTCCACCATTTACGTTAACTTTTTCAGAATCGAGGTTTAATTTTTTACAGCAATACACAAACTGGGAAGCAAATGCCTACAAGTTGACATGGGTGTATATCAATAAATTTGTTCAAACCACTAGAACTCCTTAATATTATCAGCAAGGGAAAGAACCTCATTTATCTCAAACAAGTCAATGTCATCGAGTTCAAGACCCGCGGACTTCACTGCAGCTGGAATTGCAACAGCTGGGCCAACTCCCATGACTGCAGGATCTACTCCCACTGCAGAAAAACTCCTACAAGAGAAGAACAAGATAGTTCTTGAGAACAACATGGCGAGCTCGAACTACAAAGTAAAATCTAAACTCAATTAAATATTGTTGATGATGCATATTCCATGTTCAGAATCATATGTGCCCAGTAACAATGTTTATGAACATTTGCTACAAATCATAAGCAGTTTGAACGTAAAAATTCTGCTGTTGCGAAGAAAATACTCCATTAAAGATTTAATGAAATAACACAGTGGTGATGGAGATCCAGTAGAAAGCCCGTGGGATGGGAAGGGACGACCTCACACCAATTATGATAAAGAAAATTCAAAGTAGAATAATATTTAATATAAAGTTGAAATGCATATTAATTAAAAAAAACAAAAAACAAATTGAACCCTAAGATAGATTAAATTCCATTTGATACTTTGTTGAGCCACCTCAAGTAAAAGCTTAAGTTGTTAGAAAGAGGAGGCATTGCTATATAAACTGGACTTACATGCTTCACTTTAACAAATAGCCAGTACATATGATCTTCTAGTCGACTACAATGTCTCTTAGAAGTAATGAACATAAACTTTATGGTTACGAACCCAACCAAGCATTAGCACATATGATTTCCATGCTTTAATGCAAAAAATATATTGGTTTTCAGGATATTTTACCTGAATACGCCAAGAATTGGAAGTCCCTTCTTCATAGCCAGACTTCTCTTCATGAGAAGAACTGCTCCAGCACCATCGCTCACCTGACTAGCATTCCCTGAGAAGTCATATGTCCACATTATGTTTAAAAATCATCTAAGGTAGCATTGTATTGATCAAGAAGTGATCCACCAAATAATTTTACTTGTTGCAACTATTTCATTACCAGCAGTTGTGCTCCCATTCTTATTGAATGCAGGCTTCAACTTTGCCAGATCTGTCAGATTTGTGTTTGGTCGAATGCCATCATCCACAGATATAATAACAGGCTTCTCCTCTCCAGTTCTAGGGTCCACAATCTTTGAAGTAGAGCCAACAGTTAATAAACTAATTAAGATTCAGAAATATATTCACAAATGCAAAAGAATATGTTTACCTTAGTAGAAACAGGAATAATTTCATCTTTGAATTTTCCAGATGCAGTTGCTGCTGCAGCACGCTTATGAGACATTACCTACAGATGCATGGGTAACAATTGCATTAATTTGCATAAGATTTATATGTCCTCAGACAATTAAAATGTAGCAGACTTACAGCAGCCTGGTCTTGTTCTTGTCGAGTCACACCAAAACGTTCTGCCACGTTTTCAGAAGTAATGCCCATCGGAAGCAGACAGTCACGAGCTTGAGCAAAACTGTTTACCTGTTAATGGCATATGTCAAGATGAAGCATAAATTCTAAGATGTAATAGTCTTTTGAAAGAAAGAATATTCAAATTTTAACATACTCTTGGGTTAACTTTTTGAATCCTTTCGATATTATCAACTGTCATCACCTCCAGTCCAGCCCCAATGCCTGTAAATAAAATATTAAAGATAAAAAGGGAAGGTGGAAAAGTCACTTCACTATGCATTTTTTATTTAATTTCTCATTTACCAATATCATAGAATCCGGCTTTTATGAAGGCAGCTACATCAGCAACAGCCTGGAGGCCAGATGAGCATTGTCTGTTGACCGTTCTGATGGGCACAGTATCTGAGAAAGTTACACAATAAAAAGATTAGTGAAGGAGGCAGATTTAGTTTGAAAGGAAAAAAAATAACTACCAAGATCCCAGTTAATTGGATCAAATTTGTCTTTTGAGATAATTACTGCAGTTTTGATAGTCAATGTAATATTTATTTGTTTATAAATCTTAACAACCAAATCAAAACAAGATTAGTCAATGTGAACGATCACCATGTTTGAATACTTCACTGTCAGCATCTGAGTGCCCACATAAATATTCCAGGTAGTAAATAATTAGATTATTCATACATGAATATTAAAGCCCAAAGTAATTAAGAATTACGCATGAAATGCATCAGCGGTGCAGCAGAAGAAACGAAAATAGGGTGGGATTTTTGGAATGAAAAACAAGTAAAAATAAGGAAAAGAAAGAATACCAGGAAAACCAGCATATAATGCAGCCATTCTGCACTCAATTGCTCTCTGTGAACCTGGAGCCAAAACTGTTCCAACAATTATATCTCCCACTTCGGCTGGATTTAGATTTGTTCGCTCTACCAATGCCTTCAATCAATAGCAATACGAAATCATATAGAACTTCAATTAGCTTTGTATGGAAAGAAAAAAAATAAATAAATAAAGTTTAAAAGCAAGATCGACATATAAGAGAAACTTCAATCCTGGCCCTTCTATCTAAAAGTCAACTTTCTCATTGCAACTTTGGAAAACTAAAATATTCAACAGGAAAGACTATTCTCGTGAACTCAAAATACATACAAAGCAAGATTCAGACCTACCATGTCCCTGTAAGTGGTTGTAATTGAGGGTAATAACTAACCTTTAGTACAGTAGCAAGTAAATCGTCTGGAAGAGTATCCTTGAAACCCCCGCGTTTTGATTTGCAAATAGCAGTTCTATATGCACTGTTTAACATGATATATGTAGAGGAGCAATCAGTGGTCGGAGAGCCAATTTACAGAAATTCAGACTAGTTACTTTAAGCAAGAAGATAACCGACTGATTTAAATTGAAGTAACTTACGCGACAATGACAACATCATCTCCAAAAGAAGCTGTTCTATGATATGCAGCACTATCTCCAGCCAAACATATTGAACGCTGCCAAAGAAAATAGAACGAAAGATGCTGGATATTTAAAAGGAACATATAATTCTTCTTATCACTGATGTCCAATTTAATGTCAATTTTGTACAAATACAAGTTGTTGCTTACTTCATTTCATTTACGTCGTTAGATAAGTGAATGGCAACTATGATTGTGTGCGGAGATAAAATCACCTTAAAGAAACAACTAATTTGTACCTCAATCTTGGCTATGCTTACAAGATTTTGGCAACCTTGTTTATGGGATTACTGAAACATTGTTTCTGATGTTTAAAATCAATAAAAACAACTAACAACCCAAAAGTAAGATGACTAAAATTTGTATGGTTTGGCGAACAAGTTACAATACATTTAATCGAACTCTACAAACTATGGGTTCCATGACGACAATTTGGCGACTCAAAAGCAATCAGGTAGTTAAACTATTGCTTTTACATGTTCACTTTCAAATTCATAAATTGCATCAAAAGTCTATGTGTCACAGTTTATTTTACATCCAAATAACCATAACTTGTTCATGTAAACTATCAGTAGGTTTTCCAGTAATTGCATATCCAATACATGCAAGGCAGACAACTACTATATATTTTTAAGACTTTCTTATCTGTTGACCAATTTTGACGGCTATATTTTACATAGATTTCATTACTAAAATCAATCTAATAATAATAGTTGATGTGAGTTACGTAGATGATTTTGTTCCTAAGGAAGTAAATTCTATAAAAAACCATATAAAAATAATAAAACAATTATCTCCAAGCAGAGCAAGTACTACTTTACAATTACAATTTATGCATTCCCTAAAGTTTGGAATATTTCTTGCATATATAAATGGTAATTGCAACTTATGACAAAACTTTTTTAATTCAAACATAACAAATAAGAAAAAAATTCCCAAATCTGTCTTATTTACAACAAGCAAATTTCTTCTTGCTTGGGAAATGGCAAAATTGAATCTTTGACAGTAAAAGATTAACATTTTCTTTCTTAAATAAACTAATGTACCAAACATGTCTTCAAATTGACAGTTATACTCAAACCCTTGCGATTAGAAAATTTTGAAGCAGCGCATACAGTTAACACTCAGTGACACAGAGAATTAGCAATAGAGTATTTAATGCACAATTAAATGCAATTCAATCTATGGGATAAGTAATATTAATCAAGAAAAGACTTACAGAAAGAGTAGATTGAGAGGTCTGTTGATGAAAAGGAGTGGGTTGTAAGTGTTCCAGCAGAATTCTCTGTCTGTTAATGGCTTTCTCCATTTTTCTCTCTGTATCTCTATCTCTAAATTTCAACACAATTATGGGTTTCAGGTTTTTATGTAAACTACAACTAGGATGAACATATAAAGGGAAGATGAGGAAATTTATGGTGAATGAACACGAAAAATCCTAGTGTGAAAACGTGGTCTTTGTACAGTATTATAATTATTTGCCTTGAAAGTTGAAGGAACTTGTTTGCCTCTTGTTGGAAGAGTTGTAGTCGGGTCTCCAACCTTTTTAAGAAGTGCAGAAATATCCCAAATCTTTTATTTTGACTCCGTCGTTCTATTAAGAAAAATTTGTCAAAAAACTTTTGAATGATTTGATCCAAAAATATTCTATTTAGTGCATAAACCATGGGAAAAATTGTCTAATATCAATAAAACATTACAAGAAAAGTGAGCGATTTCAACAAAACGTTGAAATGATGGTGCAAAATAAAAAGTTTGAGATCTTTCAGCACTTTTAAAAAACGTTTGAGGACTTCACTGCAATTTTCCCTTTTCTTTTTCTTTTTTATTTCCAGTCGTCCAGATTTGGACTTCAACCACGTTTCCACAATGTGCACCATTAACGTTGCAGAAAATTACACGTGAATTTGTCACTAGGGACCACCAATCACTAATAAGCCCCCGTTTTTTCCTTTTTTTTTTTCTTTTCTTTTTTTTTGCAATAATGGTATTTGATAATAATTATGAAAATTAATTTTTTAATCGCTAGAGAGAAAAATAGATCCCACCTGTAAATGAAAAGGTAAAAAATGACGTCTGAAATATGAAATAACAGTTATAAAATGATTTTTTGCAAAAATTATTACCAAACGAGGGCTAAATTACTGAATTCACAATATCAATGATCTTCGGCTCAAGCCCCACCTTTCACACTCCACCCGTGCCCACCCGATTAACTCTTTTCTAATAAGGTTAAAACTAATTTTTGTGCAAAAGAAGATAGTATACACCAAATTTTTTATGTAGTCTCGATTTATTTTAGACATTTTAAATATAATACTCCATAAATCGGCCTAATTATCAAGGGATTATTGAATTTTTTCATGGCATGTTTCATAATGTTTGTTACAACATGAATCAATTGGAAGACTATATTTTCTAGCAGGAAACACATTGTTTGTGATCATTAATTTCCTCTCTTTTACGTGGAAAAGTGGTGTGAATAAATTAGGACAAAATCTGACCAAATTCAACCACTCACACTAATAGAGAAATGATTCCCTCATTTTCTTGGTGGCTTTCATAAAGGACAATTGAATTTTAGTTGGAGCACCACACCAATAGCCTAATGAATCCCCATTTGCTTGATGGCTTTCCAAAAGGCAATTTAGTACAAACTAGAAGAATTTTAAATTTACGTGTGAAATTATTTTATCGTCAGAATATGTGATAAAAGTGTGTTTAGGAGAAATGAGTTTTTAAAATATGTATTGATCACTAATTGTGCTACATGATATTTGTTCATTGCAACTTGTGTTTTTTATTGGAAATAAGGTAGTAGTTTCTCACATCTTTACATATCATTTTCAAGTTTTTTTTTTTTTTAAATATCGATTGGTTTTCGTTCTACGAGCAATTTTAATTAATATAATAGTTAAGAATAATACTATTTAAACAGACTCAATGACAAACAATTTTTTGACGGGCTGATTTGACAATCTTTAATTGGCAGATTTTTGCTTAACTTTTTTTTTGAACTGTCAATAAATGATTGTCAAGTATATCTGTTTATAAAAATATGTCATTGAATCCGTTTTTGTAGCATAATTGAATAGTTCAAGTATATATGAAGATATTAAATTCTTAGTCCACGTCAACTCTTAGCCTTTTGAAAATTTTCGCTAAGAAAAAGACCACAAGGAAACTTACATGCAATGAATACAAGGTTGACTAGGAAACACCTAACTGTTTTTTTAAACATTTCTGTTGACGTTTATTAAGTTAAATTATTTGGACTGATCTAAAAAAAAGGTTGAAACCCAACCTTGAGGGTTCCAATCGCCCCACCAGTCCCAAAAGTTTTATGAAGGAGGTAAATCACGGGATGTGTCCCATCAGGCCAGAAAATAAGAGCTGCTTGTACACTGCGCCTACAAGAAGTCCAATTTATTTGGACTGATCTAGGAGTAGTGAAGGTTGTTCAATAACAATGTTTTGGACCCTGCCAACATCTAGGGCTACAAATTTAAATATAAAACATTAAGAGTCTGTTTGCTGTAGATTTTTCGAGGGGAAAAAAATGGAAAAAAAGATTAAATATTTGAAGAATATTTATTTAAAAGTAGAAAATGATTATGATCACATGTAAAATTATTATATTGAACAAAAGGTATGATTAATAATAATTTTAAAGACAAAAGAAAGAGAAACCAAAAAAATTAATAAACTAAGTCATAAGAAATCGTTGAATCTGTCAACTTTGTTGATATCGTTTGTTCTTAAAAATTTAATATTTTAAATAGACGGTGAAGTTACATGCAACGTGATTTTCTTGGGATATATGGTTAAATGTTATGAAACTAGAAAAAAATCCATTTTACAGGTTCTCCAATGCTTAAAGTATATAAAATTAGATTTTTATTTCTATATATATTCAAATAAATTAATTTTATTGACAGTAAAATAAAAGTATAACGACATTAATGACTTGTTTTGTACATTACTAAAAAAAAATATATTACTTCTTTTATAACTTACTTATGCGTAATTTTTCAGAACAAACTTATTGACTGAAATTTATATAAAGGTAATTTTTTCAAGTTTAACCATACATGTCTATTACGTGTGTAAAACTTTCTTTTTATTGACGTAAATCTTTTCAAAATTATAACAATATGCCCAAAGAATATTTTTTCTACTTTGTAGATGTGTTCCTTTATGATTATGAAACATCCAAAACAAAGAGAGACAATAAGTCACTGTCCCCAAAAAAAAAAAAAAAAAAAAAAAAAAAAAAAAAAGTTTTAAAAAAAAAAAAAAAAAAACTATAGTTTGCATTTTGCAATAGAAAATAGAAAACTACTTTCTCAAACTATTGTTAGGAAAGTATTTAAATCTCAAATTGTATTTTCGAAAATTTGCAATTGGGGTATGTTGGATTTAATCGATTAAAAGTAGTTTGCAATCAAAAGTAATCCACACACGAAAAATAAATGAAACAAGACGAGATTGTTGACCTAGATAAGAAAATGCTAAATTAAAGGCTGAGGGACCAACTCGTAACTCTACGCGACCAAAGCCTCCCAGAGAGATTATAAGATATAGGAGGACCCAAAGATTAGGAACTTGTTTGGGAGTGATTTTGAGAATTGATTTTTGGACCATGCTACATTCACCTAATGATTTACACAATTTTTTACACACACAACACGTGGCGGCCCCCTATTGGAGGGGCGGCTGGTTTTGAGAATTGATTTTTGGACCATGCTACATTCACCTAATGATTTACACAATTTTTTACACACACAACACGTGGCGGCTCCCTATTGGAGGGGCGGCTGGCCCACCAGCCACCCCTCCAATAGAGGGCCGCCACGTGTTTTGTGTGTAAAAGATTGTGTAAATCTGTGTACAAATAGTTTAATTCTTGATTTTTTAACCGTTAGGAGAGAAGTGGGGTCTACCTATAAGAGAAGAAGTCAAATATGACGACTGCAATAGTGAAATAACAGTCAAAAAATCAATTTTTTGGACCAAAAAATCAATTTTTTGGGCCAAAAAATCACTCCCAAATAGGCTTTAGACTTGATTTTGGTCCAAGAACACAAAAAATATGCAGGGACTAAATGCCTAATGCACAACCATCCAAGGACCCAAAAATTTGTACTAAACACCCCTTATCATAGCCTCTATTTGAGGCATGTGTTACTATATCAAGATCACTTTACAAGGGTCACAATATGGCTCTCAGAATCTCACATATTCAAAGCCAGAAAAGAGAAGGAAAAAGGAAAGGGATTGTATGAAGAATGAAAAAAGGCCAGAGGAAATCTAACCACACCCAAAGACCAAAAGTCAAGGAAATTAGGAGCCAAAAGGTCGTTTTAACCCAAGATTCAATCAAAGCCATTAGGTTGATTTTAATCCAATAGTCCAAATCAGAGGCAAATTAGCATAATCTGAGTCACACCCAATTCAACAACCGGAGATTGCTAAGGTCATGTGTTGAGATTTATAATGAAAACTAAATTAAGTTTTATTAATATCAATATCTACTTTTTAATATTAAAATGCTTATTTTCATGTGTATTTAATATTGTATTTCATGCATTATCATTTATGTGGCCAATAAATGATTGTGTTAAGTGATCTGCGTATCGTTCAAAAAAAGATTCTGCAATTTAGACCAAATAATAAATACTTTAGATTCTTGTAGGGATATAGATATATCCTTAATCCCAAGTAATCTATTGAGCTATTTTCACAAAAAAATTAATGCATTTGTTTGGGTTTTCATCGACATAGAGATATAGTAGGTTAAACCGATCAATTATAACTAATTTCGCTCCACAGAGGTAACAAGCTAAAATCAGAAAATAGAATCTAATATTGTAAATGAGTAATTTGTTAATTTGCTTGTTCAGTAATTAATTAGACAACTAGTAAGCAAAATTATGAATTCCAACTACTTAATCCCTCCTAATTACCCTAATTTTAGATTTGTTATTTTTGTAAAGTTTTTAGCATTTTTATTTTTTTTTAAATCAAAATCCAAAATTTGATTGTATTTACGGTCCTAATTTTTTGGGGCACCCCGACAATTATGTGAGTCCACCCCACCTCGTATCGTGTATTGTGTCAAAAGACATCAAGTATCAAGGTTCGATGAGCTATTGTCCATTTCGGTGATTTTAACTTTGAACCATTTGCACCGAATGGAAAGGTAAAGAATGAGGGAAGAGAAGGCAAGGTTTCGATTGAGGGGATTTCTTGAAAGATGTATTGGCTCCTGCAACTCCTTCTAACCCAGAAACAACTGAACTCGAATGGTACCACTTAACTCTAAGCAACAATATATCAATGATGGAGAATCATTGGAGTACCGAAAACCTTCTTCAAATGTTTAATTCTTGGTTTGCTATTGGTTCTCCTTAGGGGTGAACGCGGTTCAATTTGAACAGTTTGTGTTATATTTTCAACTCAAACCATTTTATGC